CATGTGAGTGCCAGGACTCAAATGGTATGAGTTTGGGTCGTAGTTTTGTTTGTCTGTTCGAACACCTCTTTTCCTGTAGTCTCTTTTCAAATTTAGAAACAAGTTACTAATTATTGTCTATTTCTTATCTGTTTGGCAGCCCTCATGGGACTTCATATTTTGCTGTTGCAAACAGGATATCCCAATAGTGCCAGTGTAATCACTGCAAGGAGGTTGTCTGTCTCCTAAGGCTCTGGACAGCTGGCCATCCTGCAAGGTGCTGTGCCATCTGTTCCCAGTGCTGCCTGCTCTGCTTCCCACGGGCCTTTTGGTGCAGAAAGGGCCTTGTTCAGAGAGCCTCAATAGGGAACAGCTGTGCTTTAAGTGGGTTGGCTGCTAGCGGCTGAATCTAGACAGGGTTTGTGTGACTAAGGCAGTTGTGTAGGATGCAACAGTTACTCTCTACTGGGAGAAACTGTATGGTGCACCCCATCGGGTACCCACTGCCCATGGAAGAAGTTTTTCTGTGGTTCTGTAATCAGATCTGTTTGAAGTTCCTGTGTCCCTGCCAACAGATCTGTGGCATTTTTCATAAAAGGCTACAATTAGGTGAAGTGTGTAGGTTTGTGTGGCTTTGGTATGGGGAGTCTTTAAGAATTAATGAATATTCCCTTTTAATGTACGTCAGATGCTTTGTATTCTTTGCTTTTCCCCATCTTGCTCTTCTGCTATGATTGCGATTATACTGCCCCAGTTAAGACTCCTGTGTTCTGTTGCAGCACATGGTGAAAGAGACAGGATTAGACAGTGGTCACTACCTGCTTATCTGTACTGATCCAAGTTGAAAAAAAATTCACTAGTTCACTGTAATGTATGTCACCATACGGTTACTGCTGTTGCCTGGCTGTCCTAGAACAGAATGGCACACATTTGTGGTATAAGTGGTGTCCTCATTACAGGTATTGTGGCTGTTACCACTGTAAATATCACTGCTGGAGCACTGAAACAGTGATGAGAAATTGTAGGAAAACTTAGGAGAGACATCTGCATCCTTTAACAGCATTAAGAATGATGGGACCATTTTTAGTGTGAATTGGAGAGTTGCATGTAAAGGGATTCATCAGCACAAGCACTGTGAGTGGTGGGAATGGGTGTCAATGGAAAACTGAAAGCACAGCCTGATTCGTAGGGACCTGAGTTGCTTCTTGGGGCCGTCCTTTGATTCTGACTCTAACAAAGTGCAGCCTTCTCAAATACACCAAGGAATTCAGGACCTTTTAAATTGCAGGACTGCCTGAAAAATTTATGTGAGCTTTCATTATATTGTTAATACTGAAAAGCGTATTGTAAGTTATACAAACAAGTTTTACACTCGCAGTTTAGGCCTCTCTGTGACTTGACAGTGCAATATTGTGGATTACTGCAGAGGACCCATGTTCTGCTCTCGGTGACTTCATTACTACAGGATTGGCTTACTATGCTTTTGATACACAAAATAAGTGATGTGGGATTATTTACTTTTCTTAGTACAGAAGACATAAGTATACAACACTTCACCCCCCAATTAGTGAGTTTTATTATGTTAACATAAAGTATTTTTGGTGTTGAAATTAGAGGTTGTTTCATAAGTCTGTGGGACTTCACCCCTAGGACTGGAAAGATGGGTATTTCAGTTATCACTGGGAGTACTTTTTAGCAAGTATGGCTTGTCAGGCCAGGCATTTCATCATGAAAGCATGGTACCAGAGTTGTCAACCTGCCCTGTCTGTTCCCCTCTTGGTTCTCAAGCATTAACAGTGTACGGCTCTTGAGCACTTATTCACGAGCAGAGATCAAGGGGGTACCAAGCAGGGTCATGTTAACAGGGGGAACGCTGTGCATCGCCCATTCCCTGCTGTGGGAACAGCTGGGACTGTGCTCTGCTCTCCTGGAAGCTGCTTCCAATCATCCCATCCTCTTTCCCCCAGCCCTCCTGCCCAGCTTTTCATTGTGTTTGGTGTGCATCCTGTGGTTCTTGCCCTCATGTAAATTTTTGGTATGGGGTGCATAGGGTCAGGACGATTGGCCACAGCAGGACCCATTGTGTTCTGGGTGCAGCACTGCAGGAAAGACCAGTGGGAAGCCATGGGAAGACAGCAATGAGGAGCTCACCTCCAAGGAAGGATTGAGTGAGTTCAGAGCATTAGTGTAAAATCAGGGAGACAGATTTGGAGGACTGTTATTTTCTGTAGGAAGAGAGTATGAAGAGTAATGAACGACCTGTTCATAAATTGGCACAAGGAGGCTTCAGGTTAGTCATTAGGAAAACTATTTATGTTAAAGCTAGCTGAATGCTAAGTAGTTGAGGAGAGAGTAAAATTTTTGGATGTCACTGGAGAGCTTTAAGAATAAGTTAAATTAATATCTGTTAGGTATGATATCACTGTAGTTGATGATGACTCTGGAAAAGTTGGTCTTCCTCTAGTGCTTGCGATGTTTCTCTATCAGTTGAGCAGCTTTAGGAACCTGTGCCATTCAGAGGATGCCCTGTCACCTCTCCTCTGGTCAGAGGGAGATGCTGCGAGGACAGGCAGACTGATCCAACAGCCTGTGACCGTCAGAGCGAGTAGCCCAGCTCCTTCCTCCCAGCTGCACGCTTGGTCTCTCATGCTTGTCTGGCTCTTCCTTGCTTGTCAATCTGACAGAAAAACAGTCTGACAAAAAAAATGGAACTTTTTCTGACAACTTAGCAAGCTAAATTGTCTCACTGTCTTGGCATGAATGAAAGGGAAGGATGATGTGTGGGAGAGGAGAGATCTACACTGTTTCTTTTACTGGCAGAGGCAGCAAGCTGTTAAGCTCTCTTGTTTGTCTGCACACCATAACCTGCTTTTTGTAACTGACAGCACGGAAGCAATCCACTGAAATATTTTGATTTCTTAAACATGCAGTATGCTTTCCAAGTGTAAGTTTTAATTACATACCAGAGTTCATGACTCTGCTTGTGGATACTGCGTCAGCAGAATTGAGAGCTGTTGTGAAGAAAATGAATCATAGTATATATAGCTCACTTTGTATGTTTAACGCTCAGTTGTTGAGTACATCTACCTTGACCCATGCCCTTCATTTTCAAGTAAAGCATTTGATATAAAAAAAAAAATCTAGGGGGGGATTTTTCTTCTTTTCCTCACGAATCACAGGCTATCAGTAATTTCCTCTTTCTTGTAATCCCAGTGAGTAATTTTGTAGATGTTGAAAAAAGATTGCAAAATACTTTCTTGTGTAAAAGAACTCAAATTTCATTTGAGGCTTAAAAAACGAAGGAATATTAAGACTGCCTGGAAAATCTTTCTTTTGAGTCCTTTGAATTCCCAGAAAACAGAAAAACCTAGGAAGTAATGACACAAGGTTTTGGTAATCTGTTAAGCAGTTTAAGGGTGTAGAAGAAGTACAACTCTGAATTCTAAAGAACTAAAAGTTTGGTGGGTTGTGGGTTGTTTGTTGTTGTTTGGTTTTTTTCTTGTAATATACTGAATTCTTAAATCTTGATAAGAAAATGAGTGGTTTGAGGAAATTCCAGAATGAAGGACTAGATTAAATTCTAAGGTTATGTTGTTGATCTAGTTTATATTTTCTGTACTAGACTTCCAGTTCTCAAAGTAAATTGGTAATTTTAATTTACTTTGAATAGCTAGGATTTAAGTTTTGTAGAAAAGTCAGTAAAAACTTTCCTTTCCAACCAAAAAGTTATATATATATATATATTGTATTTTAAACCATGCTTCTCATGATACTAGATTTCTGCTGAATCAGATTTGGATGTTGTGCTTTAGTTTTTGGTAGTCCTGGCTACGTGTGTATACTGATTAATATTCCTTCTTTAAGGAATTTGACATTATGGTCGCACTTCAGAAGCTCTCTGTTCATGAATTGGAACTATGTTATGCTAGATACTGTATTGGTCAGGTATTTCGTGGCTGAAAATGTAGTGTTTTATAAAGATCCCAAGCAAAAACCCTTTTTATGTATTTAAACATTTATTTATTTATTTAAAATTCTGGGCAAGTTCAACATTTTATTGAGACATGACTCGCTTTTTAGCTGCTGGTTGTGAAACCCTGACTCAAATGCAGGGCTAAAGAAGATGGTGAAGGTATGGAGAAGTTTTCCAGAGGAAAATTAAATGCAATTAGAATAATTTAACGCTCCCAAAAGGCAAATAGGGAGCTTAATAGTATTTTTGAAGAGGTGGCTCAGGAAAGCAGTGTGGCAATCATTACTTTTGGCTGTGTCTGAGAGGGGTTTGGCATTTGTATGTAGGTTTTGCCAGGGGCACGCCTGGGAGATTTTAAGGTCCCATCTGCAGAAGAGCCCCTGAAATGACAAGGATGAAGCGAAAGGACAGGATGAGCGAGTCGATAAATTACAGCAATTAGGGTTTGAAAGAAGGAAGCAAATCCCCATTAGCTGTGAGTTTGGAGGTGTCCTCTGTGGCGTAATTTGGGAATGATAAGCAAAGAAAAGAAACAGCACTACTGCTGACACTGAAAAAACTGAGTGTTATTTAGTATAGACTAACATGTACTAAATTATAGTTCACCTTGAAGACTTAAGTGGAGTGCTTAAAAGAACATTTACAGAGAATCTTGTTTTTTACCTTGTATTGTCTATTATTTTTCAGCTAATATGAGAGACTTTTTTTCTATTATGTCCATGTGAAACAAGTTCTGTGAATTTAGCTTGGTTATTATTATTTTACCTTTATTTAAAAAGCCCAACACTTTATACATAAAGGTATGCAGGTGTCATTTTTCCTCATCAATCTTCTTTATTAGAAAGAGGGGAAAAAATCCAAACCAACCTTTACATCAAACAATTAAGCATATTCCTTAGTCTTCTGTCTTCTGGATAGAAAGCCTGGCAATGTGCTCTGTACGCTGTTACGCTGTCAGGACAGTGTGTGAAAGTTGTCTGTGGCCTGCCGTGGCTTACGTGTTTCCTCAGAAACTTATGTCTCTTCTCACTGTTGTTTTCTAGGAAATGATCAGAGTCAATGTTACGATGTTGAAAGCCAATGGAGAATTTCACAAAGGACAGGTCTGTCCAGTTTTTCTGTTTATTCAGTGAATTAATATGCAATGAGACAAAGTCTGCATGTGGATGCAAATACATGGTTTTGTCTGACATTAGTCAGTATGAAGTGTGCTCCTCTGAGAGCAGAATGGTAGCACAGGGCCAGGAACCGTATGTTCATTCTGTCTGTCTTTCTTTCAGGTGCTTTTTAATATCACCTATGTTAATGGACAGGTATATCTAAATGATTTTCCTATGAAAAGCGGGGTTGCGCACATAACCTGTCAAACAGTAATATGTGAGTATTCTCTCTTTTTTTAATTTTATTTTTTTTAAATTTCCCTGGGGTATTTGGCTTCCCTATTAACTCATAACCAAAGCTTATAATAACTACGTGTTCTCATATTCTGCAAACCTGAGCATTGTAGAAGCAAATAATTTTCCAAGCTAGGATAATTTTGCTACTAAAATGGGTGGGGAAAAAAAATCTTACTGCCTCGTTCTCAAGTCACATTCACATGCTTATATGTAAATAATCTAATCAGAAATCCAGACTCTGCCTATCTTTTCAAAAGAATGTTTTGCACTGCAAGCCGGACAATGTGAACAGAAGGATGCAGCTCCACCCTGCTAATGGCTGTGTCCCTAGGTTGGCTGGAATATATCCAAAAAGAGATTCAATAGCAAAAGTATGAATTATTGTTAGGAAGAGCTTTTAATTATCTCATTTCAGTGCCTATTGGACAAACAAGCTTCTGCTGGATAGGATGTTATAGCACAAATACTGCAGTTTTGCAGTATTTTTCCCACAGCAGTTAATGACTTCAAGTTATCTTGAAACTGCTATTTTTTCCACTGATTCAATGCTACGTGTTTTGTGAAGGAGCAGGAAGTACTGTGATTTTTTGAGATACACAGAGTGTACCGTATAATTAATTAAACAAGGGCCATTATGCTTATTTGATTTAAGCTTCTGTTGTATTCAGACTGATCTCTTGATGCAGTCAGTCAGTCACTAGCTTGGTTTCTGAGGTCATCCTCTCCTTACAGTCAGACATTTACTTAGAGAGCACTAATGCTTTTTTCTAAATTGCTTCTCTGAGCCATGACCTTGTTTCTTGAACTCTTCCTCCCATAACATGATCAATTATTAATTTGACACTTTCTTTTCTAGAGAGGGAAAACAGTAATTAATTTCTGTTTTTCTGGGATAGTTATGTTCCTACTGCTTGTATTTTTTTCTATCCTGGGGTAGAAAACCATGGCATCATGTAATGATGCAAGATAATTGACTCTAGAAAAACAGATATTATTTTATTGACGAATTCTGAAAAGATACTGAGCACTCTACCATAGTTCCTATTAATTTCCCAGGTAATAGTTGTATAGCTTGCAGTGACTACAGTCATGAACATGAATCTGAAAGAGTGAGAAAAGTACTGATTTGACTTGGGAACTGTGAACCTGGAATTTTTTATCTCTGTGTTTGGGTCTGAGTCCTCAGCATAGCACCTCTCTCTGTTATCTGTAAAGTAATGGTTTTACTATTTACTAACTAAATTCTTGACAGTAGATTCAGGTAATGTTTGTAAAATGCTAAAGGAATATCAAGACACTTGCTACCTGTTAACAGAGGGGAAAAATACTCCTAAACGTATGTAAAAATCAAACTTCAGGTAAATATTGTTGCTCTTGAATATTAGAGACCAAGTCTCGTGAGTGGTATTGTCTTGACACTGTTGTCATACCATGCCTGACACCTGTATTCCGCACTTGAAGTTCTCACAAATGTCAGTTTCGAAAGCAGGAGTGTCTTTCACTCCTGTTGAATGTAGTGGGGATTGGAAAGGCTGGGACCACAGGGAGCTTCAGCTGCTTGACACCTTTGAGGCTTTGGCCCTTTAATGCTTGCTGCTGTAAGTCAGAAAACATTTGGCAGCCAGGTGAGTGCTTAGGCTCACACCTGTAGGGAACCTTTCTCTCTAACCTTTCTCTCCTTCTGCCACTTTTGCAATGGAAGACACTGCTAAATTATGCCAAAAAATATTTTTCTATATTGAAAATAAGCAAAATAGCTTTATGAGGAAGAGGATCATAGCATAAAAGTAAGGAACACAGAGTAGTTACTGTGTAGAAGACAGCAGTCTGACATTCCCCCACCTTGCCTCTTAGGCTCAGTGCTGCAAGTGACACAGCACTAGTGGCTTATAAACAGGGGACAGTTCGGTCTCAGTTCATGCACCTTGCTCTCTGCATCCTGGAGACATCTGTCACCTCCATTCTTGCACTTCTGCAGCACTTCAGTTCTAGTGTGCCCTCACCTGTAGTAGAGGCTTGGTAGCTGGGAGCAAGATACTAAGACTATCCAGAAACAGCAAGGGTAGAAAGGCAGTTCTCTCTGTACTTGTGGAATATTAGGTTGTTGAAATAGCTGAAAGCTTTTGAGTAGGAAGAGAGTTTGAAGTGTCACAGTCACATAGGAAAATGGAATGTGCACAGAAAAAACATGCCACTGCTCAAGTAATCTCTGCTTTGATGCTCATGGTCCTCTGTGGTTGTAATGACTTTTCCATTCAGAACCTATGTGTGAAAAGGCACCTGTGTCAGAGTTGCAACTGCTTGCCCCACGGTTGTGTATGGCTTTCTGGTTCTCTTTGAAAACTGTGACATTGTGTGTTAACAGTGGAAATAGGAAACTCGGGCAGTTCACCAGATCAGCAGCGCCTGGCAACCGTCAGTGTCCGCATCATGGTTCACGAGTGGCCTTTGGCATCCAGTTCTGATTTGCAGCTGATTGTCATTCAGGAAGAAGTGACAGACATTGATGGAAAACAGGTAGAAAAAAAATCCCAACATTCTGCTTGTTTTTAATTTAGGAGAGGCAAGTAGTTACCAAGGATTAAAAGTTTTACCTGTGTCTGGCCGGTGGTTAGAACACAAAGTGTATATGCTAGCTAGGACAGTACTGAGGGAGATAATAGCAACAGAAGTTGCCTATGTAGTAGTGGGGGTGATTCATAAGGAGACTTCAATTTTTAATACTTCTATTTATATTTTAATAAGTGTTGGATGACTTTCCCTTAAGCTTGTTAGAATACCATAAACTCTGTCACATGCTCTTTAAACACGTGCATTTATGCAAGCATAGTCAGACTTACAAGCAATACTTCATTTACAAAATTATTGTACAAAATAAATAAAAGGGGCATGGGCTTATTCTGAGTCCTGAGGTTTTTCCCATTGTTCATTCCAAGCTAATAAAGCATTTCAAACATGTAGCATGGGGAACAGCTCACAGCAGCAAACAATTATGGCAGGTGAGCTGCTTGTGAAAGCACACAAAACCCAAGAGCTTAGCCGTAGAATATTTTGCAGGTAAGATAACTAATTAATTTGAATAAAAATGTTGTTAATGAACATGGATTTTGAGATGAACAGAAAACAAACCCCTATTCTAACTGTATTTGCACAGATACCAGTGAATGTGAGGGGTTACAATTCTAGCTGAGATTGAAATGTGCAGAACTGAGTTCTCAAAATCCCCTATAAGGTATAGTAACTTTTCCATCCAGAGAGGTTCTGGAGAGAAGATACAGCTTCAGTATCATATACAGTAAAAGTATCATATGTATGATTCAGTGCGTGTCTGCATCTTATATATGGCCGAGCTCTTTTGAAGCTTTTTTTTAGAGGATTATGATAATACCATTGATCCTTAATTAATTACATGCTCAGTATGTAGTATTTTCTTACAGGGTTCTGCATCATGTCAGAATTTTACACTGTTAATGAAAAATCCCACTGAGAGGTTTGGAGCTTTTCTAATGAGACGTTTATCTCACTGTTAAGAGGCTAATATATCCTTGGCTTGATTCAGTTGTTACACAGTAGTGGTGGTGTATTTTCAGATCTCAAACAAGACATCACAGTGCATTTCAGATTTTCATAGGGACCTGGAAAAAGCAAACAGAAAGCTAATGTTGCTTCCTTAATTGTGCCTTTAAGTCAAAAGCTTTCTATCTTTCTCATTAGTTATCAGGTGACAGTAACAATAATCTGTTTCACTGCATTGTTCTGTGCATGTTCAAAGCAAAGTAAACCGACTGTTGGTTGGCCTGTGGCTCTAAAAACACAGACTCATAGAATGTGTTGGGTTAGAAGGGACCTTTAAAGATCATCTGGTCCAACCCCCCTGCAGTAAGCAGGTACAGTGTTACTAGATCAGGTTCCTCAGAGCCCCATCAAGCCTGACCTTGAATATCTCCAGGGATGGAGATCTCCACCACCTCTCTGGGCAATCTGTTCCTGTGATCTATCACCCTCATATTGAAGAACTTTTTCCTAATATCCCACCTAAATCTACCTTTTTCTAGTTTAAAACCATTGCCCCTCATCCTATTGCTACACACTCTTGTAAACAGTCCCTCCCCAGCTTTCTTATAAGCCCTGTCAGATACTGGAAGGCTGCTATAAGGTCTCCCTGGAACCTTCTGTTCTCCAGGCTGAACAACCCCACCTCTCTCAGCCTGTCCTCACAGAAGAGGTGCTCCAGCCCTTTGATCACCTTTGTGGCCCTCTGGACCTGCTCCAACAGTTTCATGTCCTTCTTGTGTTGACGTCTCCAGAGCTGGACACTGTGACGTCTCACCAGAGCAGAGTAGAGAGGCAAAATCTCCTCTGTGATCTGCTGTCCACACTTCTTTTGATGAGTTTAAAACATGAGTGAAACTGTATCACATGTTTCATTCCTCTTTTGTTAGTAATATTACTATGTAGCAGCTATAATTATGGTCACAAACACTCTTAATTTCTGTCAGTTCTTGGCCTCATAGTGCAGTTACTGATGTTAGTAGGAGTTATACTGAATGTGTTCTATATAAGCGATGCTTGCAGTGATTAAGTCAAATGGATCCAGTGCATTGCTGGAAGAGGAAGAAGAAAACTAATTTTTGGGTTGTTGGAAAAAAAACAATACCAGAAGTGTCAGTAGTATTTTAGCAACACTTTCAATGTTTGCAAGTGCTCTGTCACTATGTACTTGAGTTTTCCATGCCCTAAAATGCCTCCCTCAAAGAGGATCATGATAAGCTATGTAAGACTTGGTTAAAAGCCCATGGAGTGACCACTACATGCTTTTACAGGAAGAGAGAGACTCGGTCTGTTCATTATATTTTCTGATGTGGTATAGTCTATAGGAACATGGTACATAAAAATGAAGAATACTAATTCATGTTATAACATCCCTATGCCTAAATCTTAATGGCTTGGAGTTCTCTGTGATGTACTGGTTTTCTTTACCAGCTTACTTCACTCTTTCTTTAAACTTGGTAATATCAGCATGTTTCCATCTCTTGCAGGTTCAGC